GCAACGCAACGCGTGAAAAGACAGTATAAGTCATTATAATCAGTAATTATGTCCCCACTGGATGCAACGAATGTCTCGTTTATAATGGGTTTTCATGTTTTTCAATCATCGCTCCAGCCTGACGGCATCATCACAATATGGTAAGGGGCGTAATATTTCCGTCACATGCTTGAGGTATTCGGCCAATCACAACGCACTGGATAGCTGGCCAATCACAGCACACCTTGCTTTTCAGACCGATGAGCTTTGTAAAAATCGACGCGTTTCAGAAAGGTGGGGCATAGAGGAGAAACAATAATGTACAGTATGTGGAAAATAATATGTTTTTTGAACCTTAAACCGCATAAACACATTTCATTACACCAAATACACAAAATAATGTTCTTTTTAGCAGCATCATATGACCCCTTTAAATATGTAAACTATGTTCCTTTTAAAATATGTAAATGAAATACTGATAAATACACACATAAGTAAAACATTTTGATCAGTTTGCCCCTGCTGTGGTTAATATAGCTGCTAAAACCCACTTTGTGCCATTTTTGTAGCCCTGTGTCACTGATCTTATCATCCCTCACATCTGGTTTTAATCATATTTAATGGATAAGTTATGCCAGAAGCTATTTCCAGTTTAAGATAGCTTTGACAGGTCCTGTTTGTTTCTGAAAACTCACGCTGAGCCTCACCATTCAGGGCTTTTGCTAGTATAAAATGGAAATAAGTTGCTTAATTAAATAATTGCTTGCCAAAATCGTGTCTTAATAGAGACTTGCGATGTTTAAAAAAATTTTAAGTGACATTGATGAATGGACTGTCATTCACTGTGCTCCTCTTACATCAACCTAATAGCATGCTCTCAGAAATAGGGAGGACACAAAATAACAATATGATGTGCCCCTTTCAGAGTGCTGGTCTGTCATATAGCATGTGTGGCTAATCCTTTTCTGGCAAGGATTGGCTATTAAACCCCCCTCCTTTCTCTCTTAGAGCAACATCAGCAGCAGAATATGATCATAGCTTTATTTGTTGCGTCCCCGCAGTGTGGGATTGTCACAATGACATGCCTCTGAGTACCAGGAGGACCATCAAAGGCAGTAGCCATTGATCCATATCTTCAAACACTGCATTACAGAATTGAATTAAAGAGACATTTAGTCCACAAACATTTGGACATCAAAAACCTCAGCTGTTGCCTGGAGACTGGTGCTCTTCCTGGTTCTCAGCCAGAGCACGGCAGTGAGTGGTGTTACTGTAACACAGTGACATCTCAAAACCTCAGAGTACATATTCAGATGGATTTCTTATTCTGCTGTCACAGTGCATATGCATTATTAAATGCTCTGTTATCGACATATATTAAACCACAAAGAGTGACTTGTTGAGGAAAGGTGTGCTATTAATTTTCCAAGTAAGGTATTGCAGAAATTCCATAGACTTATGTTGAAGGGAGGACTCAAAGTGCTGGCTGATGAGCTGTTTTTACTTGGACCAGTAAGCAACCTTACAGAAACCACCCTGAGCACCCTAGCAACGAACCAGTGCATCCTAGCAACCACATTGCAAGGCTTTGGCAACCATCCAGAACATCCAAACATTGTGGCGACGAGATTTGGATGAGGACTGCCCACTTAGAAATTGTAAAGATCTAGAGAGATTATTTATGAATAGATTCTATTCTATGCAACAATGCTTTCCCATACGGTAAAATTTAAATAAGCTGACATTAAGAATTTGCTACTTTTTTTTTCCAAACTGGGGTTTGTGAGTCGATGAAAAGCCAATAATTCATCAATTATAAAAATGTCAAATTAAATTGAATAATATTAAAATAAAAACAAAATAATGCACTATTTCGGAGAATAATAAACTAAAACTAAAAAGGCAGAAGGAGTGAAAATATTTGAAATCACTGGGGGAATGTGTTTGGCACTGGTCAACAAGTAAAGAATTAATCAGAGGGACAGGAAGCTATGTACACATGCCGTTACTTCAAAAAAAAAAAAAGAGTTCATTACTGAGAAATGTTGATTAAATGCCTGATATTGTTGATGTTGCTTTTCATCAGATTCTTCTGTTGAACGCCAGCGTAATAACTGACATGCAAAATTGCTGTGGAAATAATGTCATCAAAATTTAATTAAAATCATTTTGATGACAAACAAAAGAAGCAAATATCTTGGTGCCTGACAGCTTATTTAAATTGTGCGGTATGGGAATCCAGTGTTACACAGAATAATAGAACCTATTCATAAACAAATAGTCAATTATTATATTATAATAATACATATTTCAAAT